TTTCTATTGCTTTATTTCTACTTCAGTGGGGCCTAGGATGGTGACAGCAACCAATGCCCTTGATCAGTTTGCCATGTTCGACGAAAAGTTCCACTTTCTGGTCCTATAATGAGCGTATATGTTCAATAAGTGTACATTCTCCTACACGTGAGGCACTGAGCTGAGAGCTGGAGAGGTAAGAGAACATGAGACAGTTCTTCACCTCTGAGAAGTGTGGAAGGGAAAAGGGTATACCCAGATGATTCCTCTGTGGGGACCGAAATAAAAGGAGTGCTGGCAGCGGAGTGGTGCAGAGAAGGGGGTGTGGTGAATGCAGCCAGGGGTGTTGTGGAAGGCCACACTGAATAAACTAACACTCTGTGGTTTTCGGAGTTCAGCTATTAGGAGAAGACTGAGAACAGACTGTGCCCATTAATTATTACAGAGTGAGTCCAAAGAAAAGTGGTGTATCCAGCCTGGATCTTCAAAACCCTACATCTGACTGGGTGGGCCTTTGCCTCTCCAGGGTCTTCCAGCACTGCCAGTCGCCCACTGCCTGCCCACCCACATCCTCTCTACCTCCCACTGCTGCCGTACACACTGAGGAAAGAGCCTGATGTTGGGAGGATGCAGAATTTGAAGAAGGCCTTCTCAGGCGGACATGATATCCCCTCTTCCCCAACTGCTGCCTCTCAGCTTGCAAATAGCTCATTGCTAATGGAGGCCTCATTAGCCTTGTTGAGAGGTAGAACAGCTGGTTTTTCACTTTCTTAAATTTATAAGTAATTCAGGCCTATAAAATCCTAACAGTGTAGGCTAGCTAAAGCATAGCCAAAGCCCATGAGCTTATTAATTAGCCTCAGTTAACCCAGCAAATAACCTTGATAGTTTTCATTTTGGCTTGAAGATAGTACAACAAAAGGTTCAAGGTGTGTCACAAATCCACTTAATTGCCATTGGTTCCCAACACCAGAGACAGCAGAGCTGAGGAACAGGAGCCTTACTGATTGAGCAGGGTGGCCTTTTCTTGGTCCTGTCACAATCCCACTTCCTACTGAGAAGGGTCCGAAGGCTGTCCTATCCTTATGTCTCCCATCTGCCGTGCCTTCTTCTCCCCCTCCCCCCACCCCACCCCACCCCACCACTTGAGAAGTCGTGGGAGCTAGTGCTGTGACATTGAGCCCTTTGCCATGCAGTTGAATCTGTAAAGCCATGAGTCCCTCGGACCCTGTGAGTTACAGGAATCTTCCATTTTGTACCTGTGGCTAGTTCTTATGTACAGCTGAGCATTCAAGCTCTTAGCCTGAGGGAGCAATGCCAGAAGGGGCACATAGCCATCTATTTTAGAAGATGTTTTAGAAACGGAAGCAAGCTGATAGGTTTTTATCACCGGGGTAGTGATAAATCTTAACATTTGAATTCTCTTAGCCTTCAGTCAACTTGGAATCTGTGAGCATGCAAGGGGTGGCATGAGGCAGAAAACCAGAATCTCTCTGTGCTTTTTTTGGCTATACCCTGCCCTGCTGAAAAAGTTTGGGTTTATCTTCTTCTCACTTCTTAGTGCTGTAAAAGTGGTAGAGTGCTGTTCTGTGTGGCCATAGACAGCCACATGATAGAAAGGCTTGCCGCCTTGCCAGTTGCCAGCCTGAGGAGCATCCTGCGGTGATGAAAAAAATCAAGTGTTCCTATCCCACAGACCATTGACCGAGGCGGATTCTATCTCTGGGCCTCGATAGCTGATGTTCCAGTTACAGGTTTTTATTGGCACCGTAAACAAACAAGCGAGAGAACTGTCAAGAATATTGTGGGCTCTTGCCATTGCCATTGAGATCCCATTTCTTCCTGTAGCGGCTTACCCTATACAGAAAATTTCTCCGTGGTGTGGCACGTGGTAGAAGGAAATTATTCTTACGGAATTCAGTAATCTCTAGTGGATAGTGTTACTCTCTCCAGCTCACTCTGACAATGGACTCTCCATGTTCCTGAGGAGCACGTCATCGTCCCGCTGTGAAAATCCTCCTCTCTTGTTGCTCTAATCCTTTCCTGTAGAGTTTCTAGCAGCAGGCAGTCCCTTTTCTGTCAGGGAGGGAGGAATAATAAAGGCAGCTATTCTACTTGTACTGAATGTGAAGTGCTCAACGGCGTCATTAAATCCATAAAATGGTGAGTCATGATCACGGCACACCAGTCAGCCAGGAAGCGAGGGACGGGGCTGATGTTTATTTGCAACCAGCAGCTGATGCTATTCGTCCGGTAGCACTTGTGTAGGCCTCTCCTGGTTTGTGGGCACCAAGTGCCTGATTTCATTTTTAAGAACTCGAAGCTTTAATGAATGTTCTCAGGGTTGTCCAAGGAAACATTTAATCTGAAAAAGATGTTGAAAGCCTGGTGGAAGTCTGTCTAGAAGTCCAGCTTTCTTGTGGTTGCCAGAGTCGACATTCTAGAAAAAGAGAATCTTGCTTGCGGTGCTTCCAGATGGTCTTTTTGTCATGGAGAGGGTGGCATTTGGAAGCTTCTGGAAGTCCATTTCACCACTAATTATTTGAGGGTATGTGAACGTAAGGCTAGCATAGGTTACAGAAGGTGATGAAACACAGGAAGAAAACAATATTTCAGTACCTTGCTTTGCGGCTGGAATGCAAACATTCTTGTTTGTGAAAAATCACAGGGTGTAATTTCTGTGAATGTTTGTGGCCAACACCATTCATTTGAGCATTAGAGAACTAACGGATTTTGTATAAGGTACTTCTTCCCCTTCCCCAAGGAGGTCTTGGAGTGTGAAGAGGAAAGGAATAATATAAATGTATGTTTGTGTGTATACATACTCACACACCTAGTAAAAGAAAAGTAAAAGTAAAAGTAGCTTAGAGAAGCAGTATTTAAAAGAGTTGAGAACTTCTATGACTTGGAAACAAAGGAAAGCTTCGAAGGATGGTTTGTGGGAAAACAGACTGAGCATCAATTACAAGTATAAAGGCAACGGTGGAAGATATAAAAATGTTTTTTGGCCTCCTAACTCTTTTCCCCTTTAAACACACACTTTAGACTCAGAATGGTGCTCTTTTCTTTCAAAATAATACACCTTATGTAATCATGTGCCAGATGGCTCTGAAGGAATGGGTTTTAGTGAATCAAGTTCAGGCCCTTGTCTCAAAAGCTAAGCACTTCCATCATCAGGCGCTTCCATCATCAGGCGCTCCACTTGAGGTCAAAGTGTCTTGTGATCATTTGAGAAATTTTCCACATAGACCTTTGCAATCATTGCCTTGTTCTTTCTTATCTTCCTCTTCATTTTCATGGTTTTTGTTTCCAATCTCTTGTTTCTTACCTTGTTAAGCACCTACAAAGACCTTGCAGGATTGGTCTGTCAGTCACCATTTGCACACATGGCCTGCCCAGCATTCCAGTGGACCATTTTGGGGATAAAACACCTTTCCCTGGTGAGCACTGTTTTACTGACTCCTCTAGCGAACACAGGCGAGTGCACAAAGTGTTTCTCAGAAACACATATGCTGTGGGGTCACAGCAAACTTAGATGAGTGTGAGGAAGGGTTATATTTGAAAACCTAAGTTTCCCTTGAAGAGTGGTTTCCAGTATGTAGAGAACCGTGGGTTGTATCTGCAGGCTAGTGATCTACAAACAGCTACAGTTGCATATGTAATCATTGTAAGAGGGAGAGGAAATGCTGGGTTACTGATTCGTTCTCACTCGTGCTGCCAAAACCTTGAGACCCGACTTGATGGAGCCATTCAGAGAATCTTTGTCTGTTTGAGAATTTGGCTTTCAAAGACCTGCAATGGCAAAGACCCAGGAAGCAGGATTTCTGAAGAGTAGGTCTCTGAAATTCTTGGCATAGGAAAACCAATAAAGTGAACATGAGATTCTTAACTTTAACACCAAGAATAAAACTGCCACTACTGCCTAGTTTTAGTCTGGGAGCCAAAAGCATTGTAAATTGATTTTTTTATGCTATCCTTTTTGCCATCCGTGCTCCCTGCCACTGTGCCTACCCCCGCCCCCCCCGCTCCCCTCACCTGTTAATGTGCTTTGGAGTTAGTGTATCTTACATCAACCACGTGCAGTAAACGCTTCCTGTACAAAGGTGCTTGAAACAACATCTGTCATTACATCAAAGAAGGTGTTATTGCCAAGTGCAGCTGGAAGAGTTCTAATAATGAGATGGTTTTAAATGAGGTTATAATGAAATCTGTGTGAAACGTCTGAGCCTTTTTCTAGGAAAATGAAAATGTGTGCAGTTCTCCCCCTTTATAGTCTTATTATATAAACATTGCTTTTGCATGTGTTTAGTGCAATCACTGCTCCATGTGAGAAGCTTGAGAATGCAGTTCTAGTTGTGAAAAGTGCATTTTGTGTGTGTGCCATGTTGGAGAGACACCATTACAGAAGGTTGCTATGGTGTTGAATTCGCTCTCTTCAGGGGGGCAAGCCCCTCTGATGAATGTGGTATTTGTGGATTCTGAACCAGCATGAGAATTCCTGATTGAGAGTCTAGAAAAAGTTATAATAAACTCATTATACAATTAAAAAGAAGAGCTGCCCTCTAGAAAGTGAATCCAAACCCAGGAAAGTGTTCAGTGAGCAAGAACAATACTCAGTAGGTTTTCAAATTGATGGAGCTTTCCAATGGCAACTAATTTGTTCCAGCATTCAAGTGAGCATAATTAACAGAGACTTTCTTTCTTAGGCCGATTACCCTCCAAAAACCATGCCAACATTGTAACTGTAAGCAGTGAAAACCAATATTTATGAGGGGGATTGTGCAAGAGTTTGTGTGACAGATGGACATTTTATCACTTGATGTTTGGAATTCCCTTGAAAAGTAATGTAATATCTTGTTATTTATGAATGAATGAGCAAATGATGGTGCTTTGCTGCCTGGGTTTTCTTTAAAAAGAGGAATGTTAAATCTTTTTCTCTGTTTAGCCCCTATTTCTTTGTTAGGCACCCTCATATGTTCTAATGCAAAAGCTGAAAAATCATAATTGTGTTTTTATTACAGATACAGATCCACGTGTTTTAGAAAAACAAGAATTACAGCAGCCAACCTATGTTGCCCTCAGTTACATTAATAGGTAAGCCGTTTTCAGAATTTATAGCAACCTCGTATCTGCCGCATGTTTATTTTTTAAATGTATCTTTTTAACAGAGTAGAAAAAATTGTTTGCAGTCTTAAAATATTTACTGGAGATTATTTAACATCCACCTCTATACAGAATTTTCTTGTTTCTCTATTGCAGAGATGTGGGATTGTAGTTTTCTGTGGATATGGCTGAAAACATGACTGATTTATGATAAGCTCATTCTGGAAGTATTTTGTATGCAGAGTTAGAATATGCTCTTGACTTCATAGGGCAGTTTGAGAGATTAATGGATTTATGTTTGAGTGAAACTTTTAAATCCTGGGTGAAGAAGTACTTTATGAATCCAGAACATTGTTGGAATCTCAGAATATATCAGGATGTAACAAACAAATAATTTAATATCAGAAAGTTGTTTAATAGCTCATTTTTAATAAAAAACATTCTTGGCGACCGACCCCATCTGTGCAGGGTAACATGAGTTTTTACTGAACCTAACCGTGTGAGCATGAGTTGAGAGAACACTTGGAACTTGATTTATCAGGTCTAAAAGAGGACTTGGTGTTTCAGCCAACTTAAGGAGACCGTGATTTCTGGGGACAACCTAAAATCAACTTATGTTAACACACATCCCCAAAGAGGAAAAAGGCAAAGCAAAAGCAAGACTGGCTTTTAATGAGAATGAAAAATTCTGCTCATAATTCAGTGCATGAATTTCTATCAACTGTCCCTTTTTTTTATATGAGGTGAAGAGTGGTTTCCATCTCTTGGTACCAGAGCTGAGGTTCACGGTCTGAAGTAGAAAACTGGGAATGAATTATCTGTACTGTTCCATTTCAAGGCATTTTTGGGGAAAACTTACTTAAACCTTTAGAGAGCCTTCAGTTGCCTTGTTCCATTTCAAGTTCTTTTATAAAGCATGTTTTTAAAATGATTCATTAACATAAACCTCTATCTGCGTATTGACTCTGGATTTCCTGCTTACCGGCCTTGATGGTAAAGTATCTGCAGGGTCTCATTGCCCGTCATTTTTTAAATATTTTAAGTAGAACACCTTCAAAATTGCATCTGATACAAATGAAGGTGTATGTGCTTACCTGGATTTCTCACAAAACTGGTTTCTGGTGTTTAACATAGGTTTTGAAAAGTCCCTAATTATACATTAGAATCATGTGTATGTGATATGTTAATTAGCCTACTAATATTGGGCAACAGGATCAATAGGCTTATAGATTAACTGTGGTACTGAATAAGACTTTTTAGTAGTGCAGCTATTGTGTTTTGGGTAAAATGTTACCTATGTGTATACAAATTCCTATAATACCAAACCTTATTATACTAAGAATCTGAGATTTTCACATTCGGTCTTCATATTGTCAGCCATGTAGGCAGGAGGGGTTTTACTCACCAAAAAAAAATACCCTGCCAGGTATGACTTGGGACTATAAAAGAAGATGAATAGGGACAGGGGCCACACACAAAAAACCACCAGAGAACTTGAATCAAGTATGATAGTTTAGCATAAACTGTGTAGTAGGATAAGCCTGAATCCCAGAGAACCTTGGCATAGGAAAAACAACAACGTGAACATGCAGTTCTTAACTCCGAATTCTCCACATCCTGTCCCAGATGACACAGAGTAGACCTACGAGGGGATGGTTAGGTTTGCTGCTGATCTTTAGGTGAAGAGAAGGATTGTGTACGGAGAGTTGCCCAGGTTACTAACAACCTTTCTCATTCGAGATCCCTTTGTGGACAGTGTCATATTGGTAATGTGGTACTGAGCACATGATAGACACGGTGCATATTTGTAGGTGATGGATAAATACCTAGTAAATGAGAGGGCTGAGCCATGGCTAGCTCTGAGGAGGAAGCCAAGTCTGGCCATAGGGAGAGATAGGCTAAAAAGAGTTTTAGGGCCCTTAGACATAGAAGGGAAACGTTGAAATTCACATGAAGCCAGTACAAGATTCAAGAAGAATAATAAGGGTTAGGGAACTGGAGAGAAAGTCAGCTTGACAGCAGTATCCTGAATACAGCAGGAAAGAGTACTATTAAAAAAATAATAAAGTTGAACAAATAAGATTTTTTTTCTTCAACCTCAGGGGAAAATGGCCTAATTTTGCTGAGCAGTGAAGATGAAAAAAGAATATTTCTCTGGTCATGTATCTGTTTATACAACTCTAATGTACCTTTGGACATCTCAAAGTTGAGGTGAAACTTTCTTTGGCAAGAACATTGCCAAACACTGAAAGCAACAGAGTGTGGGTCCTTAAAATGGAGCTAGCTTTTTGGATTCTAAAAAGAAAAGAACTGAGTGGAAATTGGAGCCTTTATTTATACCTATTTTAAATTGCTTTACTCTCTTGAACATAGTGTGTCGAACAAACCTTTAATTCCTTGAAACGTGAGTCTGTTACAACACCTAGCAAATTTTAAAATATAAATAGATTAATGAGAATGAGACTGGATGAATTAGGGTTATGGGAACACTTTGGGGCGGGGGAGATGGATATGAACTTTAAGGGTAGGAAGCTCTGTTAATTTTGTGATGTGAGGAACAATGATAAGTCAATGTAATGGGAAATTTAATTACTGAGTCTGTATAATATTCGTGTACCTGGGAAATATAAAGGTCAAGAAGAAAGGCTACAAGATTTTGAATGAGAGAGAATATAGAAGAAATAACAGGGGTGCCTGGGCTCAACAGTCGGTTGAGCATCTGCCTTGGGCTCAGGTCATGGGGGTCCTGGGATCGAGCCCTGAGTCTGGCTTCCTGCTCAGCGGGAAGTCTACTTCTCTCGGCCCCTTTGCCTCCTCCCCCCTGCTCATGCTCTTTCTCTCTCTCAGATAAATAAATAAAATCTTTAAAAAAAAAAAAAAAAAAACTAGAAAGAGCAAACCTAACACGCTTTGAGCTCTATGCTAAACATTTTTTTTACATTGCTTATTTCATTCTTCACAATAACCATGTGAAGGGGGTACTGTGATGATCTCCACTGTACAGGTAGGTGCCGAAGTTACTTAATTTGTCCTAGGTCCCCAGGTGTTATGCAGGGGATTATTGGGTTCAAACCTACATTGTTAGGCTCCAGAATCTAGGTTCCTAATCACTGTATAGCCTGATTTGTTGGGATATCAGAGAGCAACAGACTAGTTTAGAAAAGTAAGAGAAAAAATTGGAAAACTAATGTTAGAAAGAATGGTAGGACAGCTGGGCAGGGGGGACACAGAGATACCTGAAGATCAGAGTATATTGCCATGCTGTAGATAACCGGAGGGTAACAACCTAATGAAAACAGTAGGAGATAGCAGGAGCTAAACCTGCCATGAGACAGGCGATCAGTAACTCCTAAGTGATACATTGCTACGGGCGAAGCAAGTTGAGTGTGCCAGGCACATCCTAGTGGCGCAGGCCTCCACTGTCCTGTGCAGGAGGAGGGAAAGGGCGGAGCTCACAAGCACGGGGCAGAAACTGTCTTCCACTCACAGTCTCACCAATAGGCAAGTGATAGGTGAGCTGCCCGGTGCAGTCATGTGAGTCTCCATAAAAAGGCTGATGAGAAACACTAGCCTCTACCTGGGGGTTTCCTTCAGGTTATTGTGATGTGGTTCAGGTGGCTGCCTTGAGGGGACACGATAGCTTCTTAGTAACTTGTGACCCCCCAAAATGGGTAACTGAGATAACCTAAAGACCTAATAACCTACATGCCCTCGGCTGCTAGTTGTGCTATCTTTTCTACAAAATGTTTTTCTTAATTTAGAAGTTTCATTTTAACTTTAATTTTTCAAATATGTATATCATTTTGGGATAAGCTATAAAGGCATATCCTGCTTAGGTACAAATTGGTACCTTTCTTGCAGTCAGTTCCTGGTCATTTACTACCTAATAAAGATTTAATATTTTCTCATACCTAAACTACAGCTCTACTCGAATTCTCTTTGTAAGACACTGCATGGCCACAATAGTGAGGTTTGACCTCCTCTGAAAATGGATTTTTAGTTCGCGTTTGCTACTAAATAGCAAATTCTAAAATGGGTTTCCTAGAACAGCAATTCCAAGAGGTATTTTCTTGTGTCTGCTTGTCTCTTACACACACCTCATTTATTCACGAACGATTCTGTGGTCAATTAAGTTTGGGAAATTCTGAGTTAAATAAAATGGGTTTCTTTACTATAGGATTTATCAGATCTTTTCCTTTGCTGCTATGCATTTTAAGTCTCCAAAGAAAATATATTTCTCATAGGGACCTGATCCCAGAGCACTTTTTCTTGAAGCATCTGATGGGACTAGTTCTGCATATACCAGTAGGGGGGTTGCTAGAATTGTATCACTTTCACCTATATGCTCAACTTCCCCAAGGAACCCTCAAGCCTTTTATTCAGGAAAGTTTTCTGTTCTTTTTCTGATTCAGAACACTACTTTTTTCCTCATGGTCAGTGGGACAAAGGAAATTGTGCCCTTATATGGTAACTCAATCAACTTGTCTTGTGCCTCTCTTATTTGTTTGAGAGTGAGGCAGGGGAGGGGTAAGGGGGAGAGGGAAAGAGGAACCTGAGATCATGACCTGAGCTGAAGACAGACATTTAACCGACTGAGCCACCTCTTCTTGCCTCTTTTAACTTCTCACAACCTTCCCAGGTCCTAGTTGGCTTCTATTAAATAAAACTTATATTTTCTTGCTTAGAAACTATCACAATTTATTCCCTCCATCTCCAATGTAATTCTCTTCTCTCTTTGAGAAATAGAACAATGCAGTGGTTATAAGTTGGGAGGAGTAGGGCGCCTGGCTGGCTCAGTCAGTGGAGCATGTGACCCTTGATCTTGGGGTTGTAAATTCAAGCCCCACGTTGGGTGTAGAGATTACTTAAAAATCTTTAAAAAATATGTGAGGAGTCAGACTACTTAGGTTTGAGTCTTGTCTCTGCTATTCATGAGCTTTGTGAGCAAGTTTGCAAGTCTCAGCCTGTTTCCTCCTCTCTGATGACACTTT